CAGACACCCCCCCACCCCCTTTCCGCCGTTAATTCGTTTGCTTTGTTACTACTATTGAGCATTTTTTGAGGGTATGTTGTAGGTTCCTCCCTGGAACCGAGTCCTGCCGCGCTGGGCGGTTCATACATAACCTGGTATTACTGCATGTGGTACTACCGCTGTAGCACTCCCGCTGGCTTTTGCAGGACCAGGGCCAAAAAGGGCTAGAGGCTCTAGCTTGGCACCTGCAAAAAAGGGATACTAGCCCTGACTCCGAAGGGAATTTTTTTCTTTTGCAAAATAAAGGCACACTTGTACGTTTTCCGTTTTAACTGTGTGCATCGCTTTAACACGATGTAAGCAGAAACATGTGACTTGCATGTTAATTAGTCTCTAACGTTTTTCAGTCAAATTGAAAGTGATTTATTACACCTCAACTTCCTCACTTACACATCATATTTTTCTACTGGAAAAAGGCAGAAGTGATCTTTTTTTGCTTAGAAATGAAATGGTGCGTGTCTATTCGGAGGTGAGAGGCAGCCCGGGAGATGACCCTTCTGCTGGGCTGTGTGATGCGATGCACGTAGGCTGCGGAGGCCGGGACTGACCACCCCGCCTCTTACACTGCCGTGACTGCAGTTGAGAGCTGCGCTGCTTGAAGTGACTCACAGCAAGGCTAAAGAGGATCAGGCCCAGGACCCTCTCCACGCAGACCGTTTACACACGGGAGCTGAGCACGTGTTAATTTTTAACAGCGTCTCAGCACTGCTCCTGCTAGAAAGCTTGATCATACATGTTACACGTGTGAACACACACAGCCCTGAACAAAGAATAAGGGATGGTACTGTATGGGAATGCTTTGGAGTGGCACAGGCTATAACACTGAGAACTGGAGTACTTGCTTTTTTTTTTTTTTTTTGTGATTAACAGTGCTGTTAAGAAGTGAAGATACATTTCTTTCCTTTGATATCCTCAGCTCCCTGCCATTGCATAGTGCCACTTATTTCTCCCACCTTCCTGCCTCCCAGATTTGTTGCATGGAGGTGGGGTGGGAATTCTCTCAGTGCCGGGAAAAAATCTGAGAGCAATGTCACCATGGGTGTGCTTGCTCTGTGGCCTGCCGGGCCCAAAGTGGCAGACCGTGGCCATGCTGCCACACAATGGGGAGACAGTCACAATTTCAGTGTCCTCTGTTAAGGGTGTTTTGAGAAGGCACCTTCTATCTCAACCACAGGCCTTTCCAGAGTAACAAGACAGTCTCGGCCATAAGGCTCCTGCTGGATTTTTACTTTTATTTAAGTAGCAGACAAGATGTTAAAACAGCAGTAGGTAGCAGCGACTAAGGAACTGCTGACTTTTGCGTTTGTGCTACGTACCAGTTACATGACTAGAACTACAGTGCTCAAAAACCATGGTGAGGGTTCAGGAGTAAGCTGTTACCACCCAATGGCACCTCAAGCAAAGGTGGTGTTGTTCCAGCCTACATTGCCAGCACTGGTGTCAAAGAAGCTGACATAGATTCTGAAAGGGAAGACAAACACATTAGCTGCCAAGAGCAGAGTGCTGCAGGCTGGCCAGGGCGTTCTTGCAACAGGACACACACAGCCACGCTGTAGACTGTCCCCCATGGCTTTACACTTCCCAGGCCTTGCAATCCTTCCCCCGACCCCGGCCCTTAATGCCTTTGCCTACTTGCATTCTGCAGTTCTTAGTGTTTGTCTACTTCTTGTTTTAAGGAGATCTCAGGATGCTGTGGTTTATTTACACTCATTTCTGGAGCGAATTGGTATACCTTCAGGAAAAGGACTGGAAAAGCTTTTATGCAAGTGGAAGCTTTTGTAATAGACCTTCACTTGTACCTCACAGGCAGTAGGGAAATGTTGGTACACGTTACTCAAGTGATCAATTTAATAACATCAAGTTATTGTGTCTGTACCTGGGCTTTTGTGCATGTGAGATCTGTGGGTACATGCGGTGCCTGAGCCTCTATCATTTTAACTAGGAAATTTTACAGCTTCTAGCCATTGGTGTTCCAGCTCTTGCTATTGCTCCTGTCCTCTTTTTAATTGGAGCATTGCTCTATTGACTTGGTGTTTAGCCTCTCAAAGCAGCATGATAATAGAAGAACACCAAAGGACAAGAATGGGATTAATAGTTGTAACAATCTATGGAAAGTCACATCAGACAAGTTGCTTTATGACCTCACCTGTCAGAGGGTATTTTCAGTTGTTTGTTCAATTGGAGTAGACCTTGTTCTCCTGCTCGCCTATCTTGCCAATGCTGTAGAGAAAGCACATAGCACACGGGTCTGTGGAGCCACCAAAGGACATCACCTGATCTGGAGAGATCTGTATTGCTAGATACTATTGGGAGAAGAAGAAAAGGAATATTATTTTCCTTAGCCATATTAGAAAAGTTTTGAAAATCTAAATAGGTATTTGTGTACCTAAACTGCAGTGAAAATAGGTGCACGCCTATCAGTTATGCTTTTGAAATTCCCCTGCATGTACTTCATTGCACTTCCAGGCTTCCTAAGTATTTTTCTGTAAGTCACAAAGATAAGAAGGTATGAAATACAGCCATATTCCCATGACATACCATTTGGGAGCTGGCACTGCCATCACATTTCTTTAATCTACTGCAGAATGGCTATATTCTTAACTAAAAGCAATAGCAGCACATAAAATAAAAAAGGTAGTCCCAGGCACTCAGAGATGCTTTTCACTAGAACGCAAATAGTTTCACTCTTGTTCTTATTGTTACCCTGCAGCACAGATCCTTTCCTAACTGCTGTCTTCTCTTCGACAGCTTTCCACCATACCGTGCTTGCCGTGAGCAAGCTTTTCATGTGTTGACATCTTACTGTCTAGATCTGTGTTCTACTCAAAGACCCATGTGTCAAAGGCCAGTACAAAGACATCATACTGTTTAGACTTGGGGGCCTTGGTTCCTAACAATTGCTCTGGCTGGGTAAGGACAGTTGTGGGGGGAAACAACTGCACCTTGTATGCTGGGCTGCCCACCTCCAGGCTTGAGCAACTGCCTCTGGCTAGCCAGCAGCAGATACTCTCCTTTTGTACCCAAACACGTGTGAAGCCGAGGACAAAAATGGATGGGTGGTCTGGAGTCCACCATGTAAGCAGACTCTGCTGAAACATTCAGAATAGGGCAAGAGGCATGTATAGGTATTGCTCTAGAGGAGGGAATCACAGAAGTGCTCAGTGCCTGATCAGTGCTGCTGGTCTTGCAGTGAACACCATGCACTATAGATAATTGCAACCTTCAACCCCAGTGTGCCCAGTTACCTACTGAAAGATGGGTTCTGGATGCTCAGTGCAGGTACGCTGTTGGAAGGAGGACCCTGCATTATTGTCTTTACCAACACTGAATTTTGGGTAGAAAGTTCAGGTGCTCCAAGAGCTCAGTGACCTGCAATATATCAGAACCTCCTCTGAGCCAGTTGGCTCTCCCTGCCTGTGCAGGAAGGCTGGGTGCCAGTGGGGGTGTGCAATTGCATTGCTGCTGCCCTATGTTCCTGAGAGATTTTGCACCTCACTGGCTCCCGCTGCAGTCTTTCCTGCCGACGGAGGTTTAAATCAACATCCCCCTCATTAAACAAAATACAGTGTAATCCTACCTTTGTTCTTGATAGCAGGAAAAATAGAAGAAAGTATCTATGTTAATATTAATGACCAGCCTACAATTTTCCCTGCTGCTAATACACAGTGTCAGATCCACACATTGGGGAATCCAGGGATCAGTTCCTTTGGCATCCATCTGGCTTCTGTGCTGTTCTTACCCACGTTTATTAGCAGCGCATCATTGGAACTCAGCAGCAATTAGCCCTCTTGGTACAACAAGCTAGCCTGAGTACCAGGAGTTGTCTGAGTAATTAGTCTTGGCCATCATTTACAGCTTGTTTGGGTGCAAGGTGCATCAGACCACAGTAGTGCAGGATAAGCCAAGGAGATCCTGCTGAGGTACCACTTGCTTGGTCCTGTTCTCCCCTGGCTGGACACCCTGTGCTCTCAACTTTATGCCAAATGTAGGTACATCTATGCCTTTAACATCTACCCTGGAAGCAGTTTATTATTTAAAAAAAAAAAATCAAGCTGAAGTGTTAATCAGCATTATTTTCTTAGAGCAGTTTGAAAACACTGGAAAGAGGTTTTTTCCAGTAGAAAAAAAACCCCTATTTGATTCAAAATAAAAATAAGTATTTTTGAAATGGTACCATTTCCTGTGAGAGGAAAGCTCTGCATTCCAGCCCACCCTAATCCTTTCCTTCTTTCTGTGTTATAAGAGGCTCTCCCTTTCCTATTGCCTCCTTTGCCACGAAGAGCTTGCATGTCCCCTTCAAAAAAAATCTCTTTGTTGTTCCCTGTATATTTCTAAGTCCCATTACATATCCCTTCCACACAGCTGCATCCCAGCCCTGGCCTCTAGCTTTATATTCAGGAGCTGTTATGCAAGAACCACCAGCTGACACACCCCCACCCCCACCCAACAGCAAGTACTTACTTGCTATGTTAGACTGAATTTTTTTTTTTTAAGAGGGGTTGAACACATCAATTTTACATAAGAATTTCATTATATTACTACATGTGTTGCAAAAAAATAATCTTACTCCCACTTACAGTTAAGCCTGCTTTCTGTGGAGACAAGGCTTATATAAGTCTAAAACATGCTTCTGACTATTCCCCTGAGATAACTAACTTTGGTCAAATTTAGAGATTGATTTCCTACATGTTTAATGAGACCGGTTGATTGCATAGAGCTCCATTACTGCCCCTGGAGAAAGAGGGGCCCCTTTATGAGACAAACAATCTGCCTGGAAGAGACACAGTAGAACCAGGCTTCTCCAGGTCGATTGGCTTTTTAACTCGACATCAAGCCAATTTGAGAGCATCCAACCACATACAACTGTCTTTTAAAGTCCACAGCCTTACAGCAACAAACAGAAATATTCTAATTATCAGTGTTGAACTGAAATTTCTAATTGGTCAAAGAAATGTCAGTACTATTAACCATCCCACCACTGGTGGAATCCATGGTGCAAGTCCAATGCAGAATCTGACTGGAAGTCACAGAAACTTTTAAAGTTCTCCTCCAAGAACTAGCTGAAATCTTCGCTGCGAGTTAAGCTGGCTGCTTCCTGCCTTACGACACTGAGAAAGAAAAAAAATAAAATGTTCCTGTCTCTTCTATAACAGCCTTCCCTCCTAGAAGAGCCAAAATGTCTGTTTATCCTTATAGTTTCCTATTTCTTTAGCATTTTTCCTTTGGTGCATCTCAATCTGCCTACCTCTTTCTCAAAGTAGAGGCCCCGAGGCTGGATGCAATGCTCCTGCTGAGGCTTACTTCTACCTTGTGCACAGCAGAAGTGAAATTGCCCTGCTCCCATGCATTCTTACCTCTTATTTGTGTTGTAACCCATAATAGCTTCCCAAATCCTTTGCTCTTCAATGAATTATTCTTTGTCTTCTGTGCAGTTTGACTTATCAGCTATTAAAATAAAGCTTCTTGACTTGTGAAGATATCTCTTAATGTCATGTTGAATTCTTACTGTCTCCTGTGCATACAAGCTATTGTTATCTGCGCATCTCAGTCCAGTGAATCATTACTGGAAGCGTTGACTAGATCTGAGCATAAGACAGTACTGTGGCACTGTTTCAATTTTTTGTAATTTTGACAAGCCATGCCAGCTGCTCACAATTTTCTTCTTACCAGGACAAAGACATTCCAAAATTTGTTCTAATATTTTCAGTTATCCCATTTGGTTTTTAATTCTAGGTCCATTGTTTCCTCTTTTTCCCTTCTCAAGACACTTCCACTTGTGGCAGTTATCAAATGATTGCTAAGGGGCTCAGAGATCTGTCTTGCAATCTTTAGTAGTCCAGGGTGACTACCATTTCAGAGCACTTTGTTTCCGTGAAGAGCAAAGATCTGCTCAAGAGCTTCAGATGTCCCAGCACAGAGAAAGGTTTGCCAGGGAGCCCTCAGAATCCTTTTTGTAGGCATCCCAACTTCATTCTTTCTACGGTTTCAAAGCATCACTCCCAAAGTAAAATAAGAAACATTTTCTTAAAACACTCATTTGCTAGTGAACACTTAGAAAAGGTACTTCAAGCTGCTAAAGATCTATAGCTGATTCACTTAAGTTACTGCTTCTACAGCAACTCAGGAATAGCTTACAGCTCTACAGAGGACCTTTCATTTTGTTTTTCCATATTCATCAACAGTCTTCAGTAAACAACCAGAGACCTCTCAAGATTAAAGAAATAAAAGCCTTATAAGACCCTTGATGATAATTGTTTTAAATTGGTATTTCAGTACTTTACCTCAGTAGCATATTGCCATGGGCTTTGGCAGGTAAGAATCCCTCAGTTCAGTAATGAAACCAGCAGACAGGTTTTACTCTGGTATTTTGACTGTACATAGCAAGACATCACATGGGTATTGTCACTAGATGTCCTAGCTGAATATCTTATTTTTTCTTCAGCTGTAACCACTAGGCTACAGGCAATTTGGTGGCAGATAACAAGCACATATTCAGCAGGACTCAGCAAGGAAGTTAGAAGATGAGGCTGCTTTCAGTCAGTTAGATTCTTGAAGTATTCACAGAGATACCTGCGTGTACATACCCACACACATCCAGTGTCTTCACCTACACGGAGTACTGTGATACACAAAGCTAGCTTAAACACTTTTAAGTGTTTTGAGACCTCAGCAGAGCTAAAATACAGCAAACAAGTATTGATATTTGTACAGAGAGAAGACTGAATACTGGTGAGTCATTAGGTGTATTAGCTTATAGAGGCTATCACTGAGAAATAGTTCATTGCATAGGCACAGCTGACTAAGGAGCATCTGGACTTACCTGTGCTGGTTTGCCCATTGCTTTTGATAACTGCTGGGTGAGCTCCCCTGTGAAAGACTCTGGAACTTTATCCTTGCTTATATTTATGTTAACAACAAACTTAGGCATCTTTGGATTGCAAGAGGTTTTTCTTTCAGCTCACCTTGTTCTCTACTTTACCTCTAACTCACCTACAAGATGACTTACCCACTGTGCTGGTAAGCACCTCGGGAGCCTTTAAATAGTGAGTGGTACCTTCTTCAGGTGCACCTGGAGGGGTGGGAGTGTTTTGGGAGGCTGCATGTGCCATCTGCGGGCTGCTGGCTGCTAATGCAGACAGTCAATGTACAGCTCTCGTAGGAGGGGAAGCTGGCTTTTTGCACTCTGGAAATCAAAGCATCCAAAATGACACTTCATATTTGGATACAGCTTGATCATGAAAACCAGTAAAAAAGCAAGTGTTTCAGGGACTGTGTGAAAGTGGGAGAGTTATAATGTGCCTTTTTACACAAGTCTTATAATTATTTAAAAAATTTAGATGGACGCCTCAATTGAAAGGTCTGGAACTCTTTCTGTGGAATAGACCATAACAGGAAAACCCCAGTAGCACATGTTGTGAAGACCTTCCCTAAACTGTGACTAAGTCATGACAAAGATGTCTTAAAATTGGGATCTTGGTTTCCCACTGTGGTGAGCATTGGATTCTACACACTCAGAGGAAGCTTGTTTTTAACTTTCTCCTTTGTTGTGCAAATAGTCCCATAACAGTCAACAGGATCTCCTGACAGATAGGAAATCCACCGGCTTTCTAAAATGAGCAGGTTTTATCCAGAGTGGAGTATGTGGCAGAGCTGGGATCAGTTCTCTTTGCTACCTAGTAGAGTCTTACATCAGAGAAGTGATTTAGAGGGCTCATAGGGCATTTGGTAGGGGGTGTTCGCAATGAGATGTGTGTGGGGAAAGCAGGTTGAAAATGCTGATGGGGTTAAAATATTATTATTTTTTTAATCTCTCCATGTTAAATGTGATGGGTGTCTTTATGCCCAGTAGTTTCTGTGAGTTAAGGGCTTTTCTACTCCATTCTCCAGCCTGTGGAAAAGAGGGAGAGCTTTCTATAGCTTGCGCTAAATGCTTGTACTGCAATAGTGTAATTTAAACAAATACTTTTAAACAGTGAAAACCTCCGCGTGAACATGCTTAAGTTGATTGTGTGGTGTATGTTGATTTTAAGTCAGTTCCTCCCCTGTAGCACCCTTTCTGTAAAAAGCCAGAAAATAAAAAGTCAGGAGATGAATTACTATGTGCCAGTGTTTAGCTACGGCCCATGAAAGTGGATTATGTCTCCTGTATCCAAAGCATTCTGAAGATAATGTACATCCTGAAAAAAAATTCCAGAAATAACATCTGTTTATACAAACAGAATTTTCAGGGCATGTTTCCTATGTCAAAGCATTAAAAACAAACTCAAGTGACAGCTCCATCTGTAAGGAGAGAAACCACTGTTTGCAATATTGATGAATCTTATCTTCAGTGATTAGTTGAAAGCAGGTGGCATGATTCAAAGCATCTAGTCACAAATTATACTATAGTTGTTAGTAGTCACTTGGAAAAACTTAGACTGTATTTCCAATGAACTTCACAACCTATTTTTTCTGTTGGGTACAATAATCACTAGTTATTCGTAGCTTGCTTACATAACAAGAAAAACATTTCCAAAACAAACTCTTTCTTCTCTGAAAACATCTGATGTAATTCCCAGAAGCTTATGTACTAGGTTGGAAATCAGATCCTTAGACACCACAGATGCTCTTGGGAGTGTGCTTTATTTTATAGGAGCCATTTTACTTCTTTTGCATACAATAATAACTCTGTTTGGCAGGTCCTTCTCCCTGCCTAGAGTTACTAGGGTGTCTCCACTGAGATTTCCAGTACATCTCCAGAAGGATTGTTACACAGTACAATTTCACTTCCAATATTTTTTTACCTGTTACCATGGCTGGAGCCTTTTTTCATAATTTAGTGTGCTAAGTTTTGAACCATTATCTGCTTGGGTCACCCTAAACTACGTATCTAGCTTTTCCTCTATCAGCCTACTGGGCAAATATTTTAGACTTCTGCGTCTCCCCAGCCTTATGACTGATGATAATTTAGCTTTTTTACTCCCTCCTTCCCTTAGTTTGTCTTCTTAAATTATTTCACTTGTTCCTTCATATTTCCGATACTCTTCTCTGAACTATTTGTCAGCACTTTCCTGATTCTGAGGTGTGAGGTCTTGTTTGGGAAAGCTTGGTAACAAACTGTTCAGGTATCTGTGGCATTGGACAGAACTCCTGGGAACAAGAGAGACCAACTGAGGCCCAGAGCTGTGGGTCCAGGGCTGTGAGTAGAGCCTGTATGTATGTTCTTGTAGCAGGATTTGGGCCCTATGGACTGTTAACAAAATGTTTTAAAACTTCATAAGCTAGACTAGCATAAAAGGTTGGGGTTTTTTTTTAGAAAAAAATCTCATTATGTCCAGTAGATCTTGAAACTGAGTAATGAAATTTCCTGTGAAAATATTTAGATAACAGCAAGGAAAAAAACCCTCTAGCATAGTGAATTTCATATTTATATTAAAAAAAAAAAAAAAAAAAAGAGAAAAAGAGACAGAAAAGCTTGCAGTCTGTTTTTAATGTTTCCTGTTTAGTTCTGTTGCAACATTGTTTCCCGTCTTTTCTAAGAGATGCAAATTTCTCTGGACATTCAGAGTTTGGTGCAGAACAACTGTTCCTTAGGAAAGTTATTTTCAGTGACTGAGGTTTCTTTTTTCCCAAAATTCAGCTTGTTGAACTCTGCTTTTATTTCCATGATTGACTTTCCCTTGGTCTCGGGGAGATACAGGTAGATGAAAATTGCTGATAAAGCAAGGATTCCAAAAAAGATAAGGAAGCAGAAGGGTCCAAGGTTATCCTGCAATCAGAAATGAGAGAAAATATAAAGAAAAAAAGAATCTAATTTCTGTTTCCCTGCCCTTGGATGCAAGTCTGTGTCTTAGTAATTAAAATTCAAAGGTGTGCTCAATACACAAACCAGGATGGGTATCAAACCAGGACTTTCCACTGGCCACGTTTGACCTGAGTCCAATTGCTGCTCCTCTGACAGGCCTGGGAGATTCCTAAGCAGGTTTGGTATCTGGACAGAGCTCTAAGCTTTGCATATCATTGCAATTTATTGGTATTATTTTGCTCCCTGTCAGCATTCAGAAGATAATTACCCTGGAGGGAGGGATCCAGTTAGAGTCACTTACAACAATCAATGGAAAAATCATCCCAAGTACAAATAGTCCTATCCAGTTGATGCAGCCAACAATCAGAAAGGCTGATGGTCTGAATGACTGGCTGAAGATTTCAACCATGATAGATATTGTGGCTCCAGCTGAAAAAGAAAAGCAAAACACAAACCAGGTATACATGTTTCCTTGCTCCTGCCAAAGATCCTCCCAATGGCAGAATAGGTGGCCTGCTGGCAGATGGCCTCTGCTATGAAGTGAAACACCTTGATTCCAGAAAGGGACTACAGCTGTTAATTTAGGTTTCTCTTGTACATACTGGAATCCTGTTTCTGGTTCCAGTGGATCTGTGCAGTTCCATATTGCACTGGTAGCCATTATTAGTGTGGTAATTTATAAAACCAGCTCCTCTTTTGTCTCCTGTGGTCAGTTCCACCTGAAGCATGTTGGTAGGCATAAAACTTAACTTGCCAAGTTAATGAAGATGATTACTATAATATATCTGGCAATGCCTAGAATCCTGGTTTTATCTGAGTATTTAAAAAATTGTTCTGAAATTTCTGTCTCAAACCCTCTGGAGAAGATGATACTGTATTTTAAATTATTTAGATCCTGTGATCAGCAGCAAAATTTGAGGTATCATCTGCATCCTTTTCCTGTCACCCACTTGTACATATCTGCCCTTCCTTCCTTAATTTCCAGAACTTTTTACCATGGTACTGTCTGTTCTTCCTCTGCCAGTTGTGTCACCAACCAATATGATACAAAATTTCCTCCCAGAGTTGCCATTGATGTACTCACATGGTCCAATTCCATAGAAGATAACGAATAGGAAGATCAAGATAACACTGAAGTAATGCATCCAGAAAAACTGATGCTAAAAGTAAGAAACCAGTGATATCAAACCATTAGATACATGACAGAATAGCAGAGCTCTGTATTTTCTGTCACTGACACAAGTTTTTGTACATATCCTGTGAGGCAAGACCAGAGGCGTGGGCTGATGCTGGGTGAGTAGCCAGAAGGCTGCTGCCTCTTTACCTGCAGTGACAGGGTCATGGTAAGGAGTGCTAGCACAGAACACATCAACGTATACCCTCCAAACAGCAGCACCTTCCTCCCAAATCGGTCTATAAGGGTGCTCTGAAAAGCAGAAAACACAGGTTATAAATCCCAGATCTCAAATGAAGTAATTACTCCCCTCTCCATATGTTCTTTGCAGAAGACTTACTTGAATAATAGCCAGAAATCAATGTAACTTGCAAGTTGCTTAATTCCTCATGAATTTGATTAGCTTCTGCAAAGCTAATTCATTATTAATTAAGCTGTGTTTATTAGTCAACCCTAGGCTGTTGGTAGACAGTTCCCTTTCTTGCATGCTGGTATATATCAAGTTGTGCATACATACATACACACATCTAATTCAGAATATCAGAAAATTATTTTACAGAATAAAAAATAGTCTGAAGCCATACAGTTGTGGAAATAATTTGGGAAATGAGCTGCCTTTTATCCTGCATGTGGTTTTGCAGAAGCAGGAAGATGTGTCTTAGGTTATGCAAATCTTCCCTGAGCCCAGTTATAAGTAAGGAAAAGTACAACTGTTGACCACATTAATTTTTTCTTTCAAATTCAAGTCTGAAAAGACTTACACACAGTATAGAGGATAAGCATTCACACAACCCGACTCCCAGGGACACGTATGGGATAAGGTATTCTTCAAACTTGGCTGTGTGGAATACTTCAAAAGAATAGAAGTATATCTGAAAAATGCAGAGAAGAAATGCACCTGTGAAAAAAGTGTTGCAATTCTGATGCAATTCTAAGCTGGTGTAATAACATTAGCTTGGAGGGGTTTGTA